ATATATATATATAATACACATGATACATGATAATATTGTATTTTCCTTTTAGATTTTAGTATTAAGTTTCTTGTTTTTTTTTTAGGTATTTCTGAAATCCTCTCATGAAGAAGTATCAAAAATATCTGTATGGAAGCGTTATAATGATTTCAAAAAACTTCATGCAGAACTCTGTCACTTACACAAGCGTTTTGGAACGAAAGAAAGTTTCCCACCTTTTCCCAAATCAAAGTATTTTGGCAGATTTGAAGCTGAGGTCGTAGAGGAGAGGAAGAAATATGCTCTTAAGTTTTTGGAATTTGTAGGACGATACTCATACTTATACTCAAGCGATATCTTTATAACATTCTTTGAAACTAGTCATGCAGATAATTATAGTAATGATTGCGCACATTCCTTAAGCTCAGATACATCTGAAGATGATCGTATTGTTGCTTTGAGTGATCCTGTGCTTGTAAATGATAATACAGTGCAAAGTACCTTTGAAATTCCATGTTCATTGAAAGCATCTCATAATGTGTTAACAAATCCATGTTCTTCTTTGTCAAATGTTATTTGTGCAAACAAAAATGAATTTGCACATCGGAGAAAGAATGAATCTCATGACAGTATTAATTTACAGAATGCTAACGTTAATAGAAAAGAAAGCTGTAAAACAGCAAAACTGCAAAATATTATTAAACAGTATGATGCACATCAAAACAAAAGTTTTGATAAGAACAACATGACAACACTCAGCGACGTAACAGGATTTGACAGTCTGAATAATAATATCAGTAAACCCTTTTTAAATTATGATACACATTCTACATATTCTGTAATAATACAAGAGGACGTAAATGATTCTCAGGCACAACCAGATTCTACACAGTATCTTTTGATAGCAGCTGCTCACATAAGTGCAGCCTTCAAACATGAATCTATAGCTGAATACGAGGAAGCTTTTACACAATATAAACTGGGAATATCGTGTTTAATAAACGGTGTACAATTTGATTCAGACAGTACAAGAGTACCAGGCATAAAAGATAAGATATCAAAGTATTTAGCACGGGCTGAACAATTATATAACGAACATTTAAATTGTAACATCTCTAAAGTAACTAAACCAATATCTGAGCTTCAATATTATAAAGTGCTTAAAATAATGAAATCCGTGATGCTCGTAATGGATATACGTGCAAATTGTAAAAGAATAATCAAGGTAATTTAGCTATATAATTTATATATAAATTTTATTTTTTATTATACAAAGGCATTAATATAAATTTGAAATATAATATTTGGAATATATTAAATATATAAATAGTAATAAATAGTTACGAATTTTTAATTTATAATTATAATTCATAATTTCTATAGACTATAGAAAAATCTTGTATTTATGAGGATAATGTAAGCAATTATGTGTTACACAAACAAGTATCTTATATGGTACTTTTATACGCATGTATTGAAACTGAGACTACTATATTTTTAATCTTACAATATGCAAGGTACAGTATCATAAATTTATTTAGAAATATATTATATAATATTAATTATATGTATTTTACATTATATAGTTGTGGAAGATTATGGGACTTCGTAAGACTACATTATAAAGAATTTGACAGTTTGTATGTAACTTCAAATCACACATATATAAATAAAGATGTCAATGGAAAGATCAACAGCAATGAAAATATTTATGAACTAAATAAAACAGATACAATTATAGAAAACAATAAAGTACAGGGAAATCGTCGATGCACGACAGATGATCAAAGTGATATCTATATGGAAATGCCTACTATACAATTATTAGAAAAATCGCAAGAATTATTACAATCTGTTAATGCAACATTAAAGAAAAGCAATTCTATTGCAAATCGATTAAGTGAGTGTAAGGAATTGAGACATTCAGAAAGTAAACCATCGCTGAATGCAATGACTGTTACACAGATCCCTCAAGAATCAGATCTTATGTTATCTAATGTTCGTCACAATAAATCACATACTAGTAATATGAAAGTAGATGACATTATTGTTACAGAGAATCCTTTGACAAAAGGTTTCATAAAGAATAAAGATTTGAAAGGCAATAATTTTTTATTAATGAATAATAACGAAAATTCAAACGAGTCAAGAAAAATTTGTGCATCTGTATTAAATGGAAGTTGTACGACTCGTGAATCACTCAAAAATAATAAAATGGGCAATTTATTACATAACAATTCAAAACCTATTTCAATACAGAATGTCTCGATCAATAATGTATTACAGATCTGTGAGAATAATAATACTGAAAGTATTATATCTGATCAGATAAATTCATCAAACATTAATTATAGCATTGATGAGACACAATATACGATTAAAGAAAATAATATAGATGAACAGGAGTTTTGGCAAGTACCGGAAGCTGTAATTCGGTCATGGGCAGCTGAAATTCTTTTAGCTTTAGAAGCACTTCATCAGCAAAATATCATAATTCTCGATTTCAAACCTGATAATATTCTTCTGGATGACGCAGGACATATTCGGCTTACTTATATTATACCACAGCACAATGTTGAATTATCTAAACTAATATATCCATATTCATCACCTGAGTCAGTAATGTTTTCTCCGACCATTCCTGTTACATCCGCTACGGATGTTTGGAGTTTCGGAGTTATTTTGTATGAACTATTTACTGGCACTGTATGTAAAAAATTGGACATTAATTATAAAAAAAATTATATACTTTTCACAATATCAAAATTTAACTTTGTTTCACAGATGTTTATCAAAAGTCATCCAGGATCATTTCATTCACATTCCACAATTAACATTCCTAGCAGATTATCGAAAAGTGCAGAATCTTTATTATGTGGCGTAAGTTTGTGTCATGTTTTGCTGCATTTTTAAATATTAATCTCATGATTTTTAATGTTTAAAAAATGATAAATTCTGTACAATGTTATTTATAAAATAATGTTATAATATTATAATGTTTATAAAAACATTGCAGATGTTAAAATATCATCCAGAAGAGCGACTGACAATAGATGAAATAAAGCGTCATCCGTTTTTCGCAAGAACTGATTGGTTAAATATGATTTCTTAAACTTGATGCTTACTAGGGAATTCATCAATTTTATATTGTTATAATAATTGTACAAATATTTATTATGCGGAGATACATCAATCTTATTTTGTAGATGAACAAAACGATATAAAAATAGTTTCACTTAAATATAATAATTATAAACAATAATGTTAGCATTGAATTTGTTAAAATTTATTATGTATAATTATTTAGATCTTACTTTTTCACTTCTACTTATTGTTGACATGCCATCAATAAATCTAGTTGTAAATAAAACATTGGCATTGTTGAACATACCATTCTTTAAGGATACAATAATAAATTGTGAATGTTTAAAATGTCTTTTTAACATTATACCTATATTTTCTGTATGTGAAAGATCTAAGGCAGCATCTACTTCGTCCAAGATGTAAAGCGGTGCAGGTTTATAAAGAAGCATAGCTAAGACTAATGACAAAGCAATTAGGGATCTTTGACCACCAGATAATTCTCCTAATGACTCTTTCCAGACACCCGAAAATCCAACTTTCACTTCTAAACCGTCTGTTATTGTTTCATTTTCTGGTGGTTGTAATTTAGCCTCAGCTCCCGGTAATAAAGTACTAAATATAGAACCAAAATCCTTGTTTACCTAATGAAATATAAAATTTATATATTTTGGACATTGTGAATTTATATTGCAATTGTAATATTTTTATTTAAGTATAAATAAATTTGTTTATATAATACATTAAATTAAAATACTATAATTTAAATATATAATTTACCATATAAAATAAACATATATAAAACGTAACAAGTTTAAACTATTATTAGATTTTTTGATTATATGATTTGATATAATGGAACAAATTTCTCAAAAAATTATACCTGTTTCCAAGCTTTAAGCAAGGTTTGTTTCTTCTTTTCATCCAAAGTTTTAATTGTTTCAAGAATTTTATTCTTATCATTTTCGACTATTCTTTTCTTTTTTAATGTATCATTATATTGTTCTTCTTCTTTATCAAGAAGATTGATTGCTCGCGTATTTATATTACGACTTAACTTTTCACGCATTGCTTCTAAATGATGTACTTTTTGTTCCATTTCTTCTGGTTTATTAACTTCAAAATCATATATACCTCCTAAAAATAACATGACATATACAATATATGTATATAAGTTAATTATCAATATAAGTTAATTAAATAATGTTTATTTCTGTAAATACCTTTTTTTCCAAAATAAGGTTTCTCTTGCTCAATCCATTCGTATTTTTTTGTGAGTTCCAAAACTTTTTGCCTACATTCTACTGCACCTTTTTTGATATCATTAATTTCGTGATTTAATTTTTTTATATCCAATTCTAGATCTTTATTTTGTTTAATAATATTTTCTTTCTTTCCTATTAACCTTTGTATATTTTTGTTTTGTTCAGCAATGATGTCTTTCTGCTTCTTAATATTATTTTGCAATTCTGTAATTTTATCTTTGATTTCTTCCAATTGCTGCTGAAGAGTTTCTCCTTTTTTTTCAAACATATTGTTTTTTTCATTTACTTGAAGCATTTGTTCGTCACCATTTTCAATACTTTTCTTTAATTCCTTTATTTCTAATTCAAGTGTTTCTGACTCTTGTTCTCTCTTTTGCCATTCTTTGCGACTTTGTTCCGATTTTTTCTTTAAGATATTTAATTGGTTCTCAGCTTCCTTTAATTGTTTCTCACGAATATTCACTGCATCCTTTAACTGAATTTCTATATCCTTGGCACGTTTTGTATTTTCCTTTTCTAAATTCTTTGCTGCAGCCATTCGTTTTGTAAGCTCTTCAATAGCTTCATTCAGAGAAGCCACCTGAACATAAATATAAACATAAATGTACAGCAAACATTCTAACGTTATTTGTTGTCATTTTGACATTATTTTCACGTTGAAGTCGTCATTTTGATGTCAAAATAATAATAAATAATGACAACTTATTTCCTTGTACAAATGGAAAAAAAAAACAAGCTTAGAGTTAGGCATCTAATTTATCTATAAAGTAAAAATTTTTTGCTTTATTTTCTATATTTACATTTAAACATAATTATTAATATATAATATGTGTACCTCTTCCTTGATTTTATGATAACTTGTTTGTTGCAATCTTTGTTGTATCATACTGATTTCATAAGTTAATAAATCATATTTTTGTTTTAACAATGCATATTTTTCTGCAGTTTTTGCAATATTTGATAAAGCACTTTCTATGTCTCTTAAGAGTGTTTTTTTGTGATTTAGTTCATTCTTAATTGCTTTCATTTCTTCTAATTTTAATAAAACTGATCCAGCTTTCGCTGGGGCACCGCCAGATAACGTACCGACTGGATCAAAAAGATCACCTTCCAAAGTAACGCACTTTTTCATAATTCTTTCATGAAAAGCTATTTTCTTGGCAGTTTCCATGTCTTTGCATACAAATATTTGACCAAATATCCAGGTCATTGCTGGCCTAACTTCATTTGGAAAATCTATAAGAGACAAAGCGGGTTGAACATTCTCTTTTCCAACTAATTTTTCTGCCCAATTAATCGTTGATTGTTCCATAAATTTGCCAGCCACTCGATTGAGTGGAATAATCGTAACTCGTTGTTGTAATTGTCCATATTGGAGAAGCTTTTTGCTTGTTTTTTCAGTGTCAACTACTACATTATAAAGCTGAAACATAGTTATATGCATGAAATAAAGATTATTCTAAAAAAATATAAATTTTGAAAAATATTATATATATATA